ACAGGCAGGGGAGCATCACACACTGTGGTATGTCGGGGGTAAGTAGGGGTGGGACAGCAGGGGGTGGGGAGTTGGGGAGAGATAGCATGGGGAGAAATGCCAACATATAGGTGATTGGGAGAAAGGCAGCAAATCACACTGCCATGTGTGTACCTATGCAACAATATTGCATGTTCTTCACATGTACCCCAAAACCTAAAAGGTAATCAAAAAAATAAAATAAAATGAAGACCTCAATAAAAATAGGTCAGGTGCGGCAGTCGCTCATGCCTGTAATCCCAGCACTTTGGGAGGCCCAGGCAGATGGATCACCTAAGTCCAGCAGTTCAAGACCAACCTGGCCAATATGGCAAAACCCCATCTCAAAATAATAAGTAAATACATAAATAAAGAATAAAAACATAAAATATAGGCAAAACATACTGAAAAAATGCTTTTTAGGCCGGGCGTGGTGGCTCACGCCTGTAATCCAAGCACTTTGGAGCCCAAGGCAGATGGATCATTTGAGGTCAGGAGTACAAGACTTGCCTGACCGACATGGTTAAACCCCGTCTTTAAAAAAAAAAAGAAAAACACTTTCTAAAAGAAGACATACATGTGGCTAACAAGCATATAAAAAATGCTCATCAATAATCATTACAGAAATTCAAAGAAAAACCACAATGAAATATCATCTCTCACCAATGAGAATGGCTAGTATTAGAAAGTCAAAGATAACAGATCCTGGTAAGTTTACATTGCTAGCGGGAGTGTAAGTTAGTTCAACAATTATGAAAAGCAATATGACAATTCCTCACAGAACTAAAAAGAGAATTATCTTTTGACCCAGCAACCTCATAACTGGGCATATACAGAAAGAAATATAAATTATTCTATTATAAAGACATACGCATCTTTATTACAGCACAATTCACAAAAGCAAAGACAGGGAATGAACCTAAATGCTTATCAACCATATGCTGGATAAAGAAAATATGGTATGGTTGGGCATGGTGGCTAACACCTGTAATCTCAGCACTTTGGGAGAATGTGGCAGGTAAATTGCCTGAGCTTTAAAGTTTGAGACCAGCCAGGGAACAGAGCAACACTCTGTTTCTCTTTTTTTTTTGAGATGAAGTTTCGCTTTTGTTACCCAGGCTGGAGTGCAATGGCGCAATCTCATCGCAACCTCCGTCTCCTGGGTTCAAGCAATTCTACTGCCTCACCCTCCCGAGTAGCTGGAACTACAGGCACGTGCCACCATGCCCAGCTAATTTTTGTATTTTTAGTAGAGATGGGGTTTCACCATGTTGACCAGGATAGTCTCGATCTCTTGACCTCGTGATCCACCCGCCTCGGCCTCCCAATGTGCTGGGATTATATGCGTGAGCCACCGCGCCTGGCCACAACACTCTGTTTCTACAAAAAATACCAAAAAAAACAAAAAACATTAGCCAGGCCTGCTGGTATACACCTGTAGTCCCAGCTACTTGGGGAGTTAAAGCAGAAGAGGATTGCTTGAGCCTGAGAAGTTGAGGCTACAATGATCTGAGATAATGTCACTGTACTCCAGTCTGGGTAACAGAGCTTGGAGGTATTAGGCTCAAGCTCTGAATTCCATGTCAGAGTTATTTAAGCTGGTTTTCAAAACTACACGTGTGAAAAATTAAATATTATTCAAACACAATGTTCATCTAAAGGGACAAAATTATAAGGTGCTTAAATTTTACACCTCAATGAGAAAAGCAAAAATGTTCCTTTTAGACAATATATGTCTTATTTTTCCATTAAAAATCATGTAGTAAACAATTAGTCATATGGGAACATTTCTAGGAGGTACGAAGTTTTATCTCATAATTTTTTTTTTTTAAAAGATGGGGTTTCACCATTGATGGCCAGGCTGGTCTTGAACTCCTAACCTCCAGTGATACACCCACCTCGGCCTCCCAAAGTGCTAGGATTACAGGCGTGAGCCAGGGCGCCCGGCTTATTTCATAAATTTTAGCATGAAACTCACAAGTCCAGATAACAGGATACAGAACAGAAATATTCACTGTCACAAATTTACCCTGCAAAAAGAGGAAGGGATATTTTTATGACTATAGGTAACTCACCAATTATCTATCAAATTATCATGTGGAAATTTTTTTTTTTCCGAGATGGAGTTTCACATTTTCACCCAGGCTAGAGTGAAGTGGCACAATCTCAGCTCACTGCAAACTCCGCCCCCTGGGTTCAAGCGATTCTCCTGCCTGAGCCTCCCCTGTAGCTGGGATTATAGACCCCCACCACCACACCCGGCTAGTTCTAGTATTTTTGGTAGAGACTGGGTTTCGCCACATTGGCCAGGCTGGTCTCAAACTCCCACCTCCGGAGACCCACCAGCCTCGGCCTCTCAAAGTGCTAGGATTACAGGCATGAGCTACTGTGCCTGACCGGAAACGTATTTATTTTCTACAGCCAAAACGCAGGAGAGATTTTCCCTATTGTTTTTCTTGGTTGCATTTTAAAATAAGCCTTGGAATTCTGCTTGAAATCACCCAGTCATAAAAGACACACCTGAAAAAATTCCTAAACTCATTTTGGGAAAGAAAAAGGTAAATAGGGCCGGGCGTGGTGGCTCACGCCTGTAATCCAAGCACTTTGGAGGCCAAGGCGGGCGGATCACCTGAGGTTGGGAGTTTAAGACCAGCCTGACCAACATGGTGAAAC